AGCCAGCTGGCACTGGCTTTATCAGACATGGGGGAAGCTTCTCGCAGCTTCTCCACAGAAGCCACCCCTATAGACCCCCGCTACCAAAACATTGCCACACAAACCCATAACAATATTCATCCCAGAGGAATATCTGGTCTGCATTTTCCGGCTTCTGGTGTTGCAGCTAACCTGGAGGTGAACATTTGCCTGCGTTTCTCATTACAGTCAGGAGAACTTCCATTGCTGCCATTCTCATTTCTTTGAAGTTTGTCTTGGCCTTAGAGAGACATGAATTGCAAACAATTTCTCCCCAAGTTTTTTCTGGCATAAACCTCTTTCTACATTTCCCCAGTTCTACTCTCTAACTTCTATTCTGAAAAATAACTGCCCTATGCAGCTGTAATGGATGCACCGCTAATTTTCATCTGCTCTGTACTGTGGCCGTCTCATGTTGGTCTCATTCCTCCTCTGTGCCTGACTCCATTCCCCCAGAGAAGGCAGAGGTCAAACAAAACAAATACCTGTATTGTTGCTTTCGAGATTAGAGGAATAATCCCTGTATTGACAGTAAATAAGATGAGAAATAATAAGGTTGAATGCTGTCTGTGTGGAGGAGACTACTAGATATTTCTGCCTGCTATAAAAATATCTTACTTGCTCCACTTTGCTGTCTTCTGCTGTCATCCTGCCTCATTTCAAGTCCTCCAAGCTGTTTTCTTTCAATTTTTTTTACCTTTGTCATTAGGACAGATGACCAGCCACACTATAAAAATTTTTTTTTTGGTGGGGTTGAAGTCTTGACTCTGAAACCAGCCTTTATGTAATTGTAAGTGACAAGGGATAAACACTACAGTAGAGGTGGTTATACAAACAGTAGTATCCCATAGCAGGGCGGGTTATTTTTTTCTCTTTAAAGGGACAATAATAGGACAAGCTTTGGGCAGAACTGGGCAGAACTAATCTGGCAACCAGGGATTCCCCTGTGTTTAGTCACTGGTGGCTGGCCCATGTGGGCATTACAGTGTTTCAGAGAGTGTGCTGAAAGCAGGTGAACAATTATAAAAGGGGACATTATCGCCTTTCTCAGCCTCTTTTCTCCTCATTTGTTTCATGTCAGGGCAGGTTCTGCTCATGCTCAGCCTTTCACGTTTATGCTATCCATTTGTAGCAGCACAGCTATGGTAGCTGTGATGGGAGGTAAAGGTGCTAAAAAACTGGGGCCAACCAACTTTGACATTTCTTCAAGACCAGTGAAATCCCTCCTTTTGAACAGAGTTGTAGAAAGATAATTCTACTTTTCTTTGGCAAATGATCCAGCATTTCCATTTTCTTCTTCATGGGGCTTCATGGGGCTGATGACCTCAGCTATGCTGCAGAGCTGACATGGCCTCCTTTGGTGGTAAAGAAGTTCAAAGCTGAAAAAAACCCACCATGGAAGTGTTTTGTTTGTTGGATGGCCTCATATACAGCATAGTGCCAAAGGAGAGCACATTAGGCCAAGTATCAGTCACAATTAAAGACTCTGTTTAGGCTGCATTCTTCAGGGTTGGTAACTGGTCCCAAAGCCTAACTATAGGCAGGGGAGTAAAGGAGTATGGCTGTATCGATGATTTGCCTATATTTTGCTGTTTTTTTGTGGTCAGGTATGGAGAAGACCTCAGAATAAGTAGTGTCCCAGGAAAGCCTTTGCATAAGACACTGCATTTCTCAGTGCAGAAAGTATGTTGCTAGGATTTTCATTTAGTAATTAAACTCTGTCTGTGTTGCCAGTATAAGCATGTCTGAGACATGAGTGGCTTGATCTTAAAAAGTGAATATCATCAACCCCTTGCAGCGACAGTAGACATGGGGTCACCAAAGATGACTGGACCCCTCGCCAGAATCTCAGGATCTCCCGCTGATTCAGTAAAACCCAGTTACATCTAAATTAACTTATTGTTTCTGAGGCTATGCAGAGGGGTTTATCTATGGCAATTGTCCTCTCTCTTCACACTTAAACTTGTTTTTAAGTTGGCTACTTTTTTCACCTGAATGCTGAATTAGGGGAAATGGACATCTCTGCCTGGCAGTCAACCATCTGTCAGTACCCACCCCGCTGGGCTGAGCTGGCCATGGATAACATCATCCTGACAGTACCAGCTGCTGATGTACACCACACGGACAACCCAGAGAGCCTGCTTTCCATCTGGAACATGACATTGAATGCAATAGCCAGACTGACAGCCATCCCAGCCACTTTTCCAAGGCCAGAGAGGATGGTGGCAGATGTCCAGATATCCCATGGCAAGTATAGTAACTAGAATATTCTGGTTTTATCTATGATTGGTATTTGTAAGTGAAATACACAAGGCAGCAACATTATCACAAGACCATGCAGATCCTCAAACCAGCAGATTAATCCCACCAAATTCAAGGAGGCTGCTCGTGAGAGCAGGAGTCTTCTGTG